TAACAAAGCAACCAAGCAAACAATCAGCCTGTCGGCCAGTCAACTAACAACTATCTAGGTAACACATCGACCATCCAAACAACCAACTACCCAGCCAATCAAATGAAACATCAAGCATTCAACCAATTAACCACCCAACGAGTGAGCCAATTAAAAATTCAACCAGTCAACTAACTAACCAGTTAACTAACTAACCAACCTCTCAACCAACCAGTAACCCAATCAACCAGTTAACCAACTAACCAACCTCTCAACCAACCAGTAACCCAATCAACCAGTTAACCAACTAACCAACCTGTCAACCAACCAGTAAACCAGTTAACCAACCATTACAACCAATCCGCCAAGCAACTTTCCAAACAACCAAGACAGCGAACGAGATAGCTGCTCGCGGTCCACGGCCGTGCGGTGGACTCGTCTCACTGCACTCGCAATTTGACGACTCTTCGTCGACCCAAATGTCGCCGCGCACGCCGGTAAGGGGTTGAGTGAAATAGTTACCCGGGGCCGGATTTGAGTCACCCCTCGACAACTGATGTGAGCCACTGTCCACGCACCCATTGCCGAGGCTCGCGGCGAAAAACTCCTCGAACCGTCGCGCCTACCGGTCCACAGCGGTCACGTTGTGCCCCCCGTGACATGTGTAAAGGATGCATGTTAAAGTCAGCGCCTGGGCTGGAGAAAATAAAGACAGAGCGTGAATACTTCCGCGGCAGCGTGTAAGCACACGTTGCGTATCAGATATTGTACCGAGAAATAATGGCCGTTTTCTCCGGATTGTAAGACGCACCCCCCCCCCCCCACACACACACAAACTCGTGCCGTGTGTGTCAATAAAGTTATACGGCTCTGATTATTCACACACGCGCGCGCACACATCTACCTGATTATAAGACGCACCCCCCCCCCACCACAAACTCGTGCCGTGTGTGTCAATAAAGTTATACGGCTCTGATTGTCCACACACGCGCGCGCGCACAACTACCGGATTATAAGACGCACCCCCTCCCCCACTCCTCATCACCGTTTTAAAATAGAGGGAGGTGAGGCGAGGGGAGAGAGTGCGTCTTATATTCCGGAAAATACTGCAACTACGGAAACCCCCCCCCCCCCCCCCCCCCCACAATTATGAATAAATTGTTTTCGTCATTGACGCCGGTTTACAAAGCAGTCCGGAAGGTTCCACCATCAACCAAATTCTACTCGGACACAAATCGCGTTGTGATGCTGTTGCTGCTACTACTGCGTTGGAGGTGGTGCCGTACAAACACAATTAACAACAACAACAACTTCAACACGTTTCGTGTTAATAACAGCGCAGGGTGTGTGTGTGTGTCTGGGGGGGGGTCCTTAAAATAATATATAAATATAATACGCGACGTTTTGAGTTACGGGTCTCTTCTTGAGCGTAAATTTGCTATGGGCATAACCCAGCTGGCATCAATTGCACAATAATTGTCACCGTAGTTTGTCACGCGCAAGGAGACGGAACCGCGAAAGTTAAATTGTCCACCTAGCGTGCCACCGGTCGGGACTCGTGGCGTCCCAGCAACCGCCGATAAAACACTCTGGAGCTAACTTTTTATTATTATTATTTACAGTTACTAGCTCGACATGCGAATATAGTCGACACGTGCCGAACGAGGCATTTAAAATATTGGCGATTAATTCCGCCTGGGTAAATTCATTGATATAGATGCGCCTCGTTAACTAAATAATGGTGCGACCTTTTGAATGCACCGGTGAGCGACGCTGGTGAGTGTGAATATATTTGACAAGACACTATGTTTGTTTTTTTATTCATGAACTTTTAATCGTCGTACCGCACGGTGTAAAATATGACGAAATTTTCAATGAACCATTTCTTTGTTTACTGGCAAGTTATGAAGTGGTTTTAGTGTGAAATGGTAGTTACGAAGGCTGGGAACATCTTCGTAGTAGTAATATTTCTAAATTATTCAGTAAACGAAGTTTCAATATGTGAACGAATCTCCAGCAAGCCATCTACTTCGTATAACGAGGTATTTACTGAATTTACAGAGACTAAATTTCGTCTTCTGTATATATATATTTACCTTATGTAATGTGCGATGGGTTTGTTTTTTTGTGTTTCAATTGTGAAGGAATTTTAATTGGGCTGTAAACATGGGACAGATATATACGCACGAGCAAATACACACACGTGCGCACGCGTGTGTTTCATTTATTAATGCGTACATTGCGTGTGAATGGAAATGCAACTCCAAAGAGCATTGTATTGTAACGAATGCTGCAATATTGTAATCATACCAACATTGTAGTACGAATACAAACACAACCAGTATTCCTGACCCCGCAATGGATACGCTATTGACTGTTTATAATTGGGATGGGATTTGCGTTGTAACAAAAAAACACAAGATAGTCATAGATTTTTAGCTTTTTTTTTCCCCTCTTCTGGATTTTCGGACGATGTTTAAAATGTGCATCTTATTTTTTGTGTTCTTTGAGCGGGCGCCCCACGTGATTACAAAAGTGACGTCACACTGCACGCCTGCGCGTCACGCATCCCATCCGCGACACAAGTCACGCCGCCTCCCGTGACGTCAGACATTTAGGATCGATCCTAAACGCAACAACAACAACAAATTGTAAAATAAACAATAAATGTTTATATGTAAATTAATAGATAATACCCGCGAATAAAAGCGCGCTATAACGAATCAGCGTTGTAGGGGACTGCGCTCAGAGATTTACACAGCATTCAGATCATCCGTAAATGTCGTCGCTTGCAGGCCCGATTTTCGATTTTTCTTTTTTGTCATGCTAACATGAGTGACGAATTGGCCACGTTCTGTTTACGTGACAACCCTTACTCGTTGGCTGCCCGGGAAACCCGTGTCTAGGTTAATACCAAGTTGCTCTTTGCTTTGCTGCTGCTGCTGCTGTTGTTGGTCACTCGGGGATATGCGTCTTGTCGACGAAGCCGCTGACGTCTGACAGAACCAACGTGACTTTGTGTGACAAAGCCTGGCTCTGCTGATGAGACCCAGAGGCGGGGAGGGAGGGGGGGGGGGAAACCCGCTTCTGAGTTTTAGTTTTGTAAACAATGTTGCTGCTGCTGGATAATGTTGATCCGACAGGCTCGCAGGCTAATAACCAGAGGCTGATGAGCAAAGCAAATGAGAGACGCACTTTTCATGCGTGTGTGTGCGTGTTGTATACGTAGTTGGGGAGCGGTAGTGTAGCGGTTAGCGCGCTGCGCTGCAAACCTGGCCACCCGAGTTCGATTCCCGCCCACGGCCAACACCGGTGATGATTATCTGAACCGGTCCTGGGCTTCCTCTAGGTCGACTCAACCTCAAATGAGTACCTTGTGCGGTGTGTAAACATCGCCACTAGGGAACACAAAGGCGGCCGGGCGTGGTGTTGGTCACCCACCCCCTCGTGTGCCGTGTCGGCCTTCATAGGTGCTCTCTCACAGCACTTGCCCCAACAGTCTGTTACAGGCTATACGGGGGATATTTTTGCTAATCTTTGTATACATAGCCACTGGGGAGACAAAGGCGGCCGGGCGTGATGCTGGCACACTCACACCACTCGTAATGACGTCCCGGCCTTCATAGGCGCTGCTACTCGCTCCGAACGGCGCCAGCCCCAAGAGCCTGTGAACAGGCTACACGGGGCACCTTTGCTGTTGCTTTGTATTCTACGATGCCGATTTAAAGGAACGCGTCCTGCGCTTTGCGTGTGGGCGCGCGAGCTTCAAATAGCAGCCGCAATAGGCGACGTTTCGGGCAAGGGGCCCCCTTCCTTTAGTCGCTTGTTATTGTTGTTGTCGTCTTTATTTCGCTTGGCCAAACTTCTTCTGACTCGGCGTGTGGGCGCGCTCCGCTCGACAAGATCGTGGTCACGTCTCCTCCCCTACGCGCGCGTCTTCTCGTCTCGTGCGCGCGAGTTTCTGTGAGCGCGCGAATTAATTCCCCCACGAACGGACGCGATTTATTTGTCTGTCTGTTGTTGTTATTACACACTTGTAGTACTGTGCGTGGGGATTCACGTACAGTCGTAGAGCGGTTGACGCACACACACACACAACGTACACGCGGAATACTGTACGTAGCGTGTTGGTGGGTGCGAGAGTGGGACGCTGAGAGAGAAAGGGGTAAGGGAGGAGGTGGAGGAGGAGGGAGGAGGAGGAAGGGCGGCGATGGGGGGGGGGGCTGAGTTGGGGGAGTAGGAGGAGAGGACGGGACAGCGGGAGGAGGTAAGAGGGAGGTGGTTGGGCCGAGGGAGCCGTGTGGAGATTGTGATGAGGACAAGGGGGGTGCTGGGTGGGGTGGGGGGTTGGGGTTGGGGTGATGAACGGGGTGGGTGCAGGGTTGCAGAGGGAGGTGATGGCAGGGGGTTGAGGTTGGGTAGGGTAGGAGAGGGGTATGTATGGTGGAGGGGGGGGGGTGAGTGGAAAGAGATGGGGGGGGGGTCACAGGGTGGGGGGCGGGGGGGGGAGCTGTCAATCACCGAGCCGCTGCCCAATCGCGTGCGTCCGTCGAGCAGAAGTGAATGTTGGTGCGGTGACGTCACGCGCGCCAGGTGTCGCGCGCGCGCGCGCGCGGCCGCCGTCCCCGCTCGGAGCGGCGCTCCTATTAAGATTGGGGCGAACCTCGTGGAGTGGAGAGTCGGGAACCACAGCGGAGGAGGAGGAGGAGAGAGAGAGAGAGCTCCAACGCTCTCTCCACTCCTCTCTCTCCACTCCTCTCTCTCCACTCCTCTCTCTCCCGATCTCTCTCTCTCTCGCCGCTTTGCGTCTCGCGCTCCGAGCCGACCCTCGCCTGTTCACTCCATCCCGCTCAATGATGCGCTCCGTAACTTTTCTTGTCGTTGGTTAGGTAACTTAGCGGGGTATTGCAACGCGAGTTGGGGGGGGGTGGGTGGGTGGTGGAAGGGGGGGTGGTGGTGGGTGTGTGGAAGAGGGTGTGGTGGGGGGAGAGATTTGTGGGTGGGTGGTGGTGGGGTTTAGGAGGAGAGAGAGTGAACTCAAAAAGGAGGGGGGTGGTGGACATCACCCCCCCTCCCCTCCTCCACCACCGGAAAAAAAGACGCGAACGAGAGCTGAGCCGCGGAAAGAAAGCAAGGAAACAGCGGTTAACCCAAAAAAAATCCGCGAAAGTGTTCAGAGAAGGCTACGAACATCAACAACAACAACGACGACAAACTCCTTCCTTCTCCGCTCGAAATGGAATCGTCGGCCGCGGCGGTTAAACGAAACCAGGCGCTGAGGCTGGTGGACCTTGCCGTGAGCCACCAGCACGCGTGCCAGACCCTCGCCGGCTCAGCTTTCAGCGACTTCGCCGGCTACCCGCAGTCGCAGCCGCTCACTCACCCCTCCGTCGACGGCACAGCGGGGGGGTCCCAGGCGCCGTCGCACGCATTCGGACCGCCCGGGGGAGCCTCCGGAACCGCCCTTAAATTAAGCCCCCCTCCCCATCTGCCGGGACACGCCGATCTCCTGACGGGGTCCCACCACCACCACCACCACCACGCCACCACCACCACCGCCGCCGCCACCACCGCGGGTGGCTTTAGTGCTTCTGTCGCGGGCGGGGTGGACTATGGGAGTCCCGTGGGACGTGCGAACTACTCCGGCGGACGAGACTTCATCATACGCCAGAACATCACGGCAGCGGCGGCGGTGGCTGCCACAACAGCGATGCCCGGCCTCAACGACCCGCTCGGAGACGGCGTGATCAGCGGAGGAGGAGGAGGGGGAGGAGGAGGAGGAGGAGGAGTTGGTGGCGGTGGCCAAGGGCACAGGGAGCAGGCGCCGCACGGAGGCGGTCACGGACTCAACGGGCAGATGCGGCTTGCGCTGCCGCTCGACGTTTACGCGCGGCATCACCACCACCACCATCACCACCACGCAGAGTACGCAACGCAGCTCGGTCGCCCCACCGACCCCTTCTCGGCTGCGGCGGCCGCGGCAGCCGCGGCTGCGGCGGCTGCCGCGGCCGCAGCGGCCGCGGGATCGTCGCTCCACGGATTCAGTTCTGGCGCCTTCTTCCGCTACATGCGTCAGTCCGTGAAGCAAGAGCTGCTGTGCCGCTGGGCAGAGAGGGGTTCTGTCCCGTCCCTGCAGCAGCATCATCACCATCAGCAGCAGCATCAGCAGCAGCAGCAGCAGGGAGGAGCGCCCAAAGCTTGCGGGCACACGTTCGCGAGCATGCACGAGTTGGTGGCGCACGTCACGGGAGAGCACGTGGGTGGGCCCGAGCAGGCCCACCACGTGTGCCACTGGGACGAGTGTCCCCGCGAGGGGAAGCCCTTCAAGGCCAAGTACAAGCTGGTGAACCACATCAGGGTGCACACGGGCGAGAAGCCCTTCCCGTGCCCCTTCCCCGCCTGCGGCAAGGTGTTCGCTCGCTCCGAGAACCTCAAGATACACAAGAGGACGCACACAGGTAAACGACACTCCGCTCGCGAGAGTGTATGTGTGTGTGTGTGTTTTTAGGTGTGAGTGTGTGCACACGTGTGTGTATGCGTACACGTGTGTGTAACGCGAGTTTGTGTAACGCGAGTTTGTATGTGTACACGCGAGAGTATGTGGACACGTGTGTGTGTACATGTGTGTGTGTATACACGTGTGTATACACGTGTGTGTACACGTGTGTGTGTACACGTGTGTGTGTACACGTGTGTGTGTACACGCGTGAGTGTACACGCGTGAGTGTGTGTACACGTGTGTGTACACGTGTGTGTGTACACGCGTGAGTGTGTGTACGTACACGAGAGTGTATGTACACGTGTGTGTATGTACACGTGTGTGTGTACAAAAGTATGTACACGTGTGTGTGTACACGTGTGTGTACACGTGTGTGTACACGTGTGTGTACACGTGTGTGTACACGTGTGTGTACACGCGAGAGTGTGTGTACATAAGTAGGTGGGGTGGTTGATGGGATGGGATGTGATGAGTGGGAGGATGCCACGGGGGGGGGGGTTATGGTTGGGTCTACGGGAGGGAGAGTGCTTTCTGGACGGGTTTTCTGGATGGGTTTGGGATGGGGTTGCTGCTGCGTTCGCCAAAGTAACGCGTCCCAAAGTAACGTCAAAGTAACGCGCCACAAAGCAACGCCCCCCAAAGTAACGCTTTGTTGCGCGACCAACGGACTCGAGCACGCGTTGAGCGAGAGTTAGATGTCTGCCTCGGGTTTCCAGCTCTCGTCTCGAACATTCATCGTCGTCATCATTGTCACCGTCGTCATCATCACCATCGTCATCATGACGACGATGACGACGGTGACGATGATCACAAGCGACGGCGTGCTACAACGCATATCAATAAGCACATCCAATGCAGAACGTCAAACTGCTCGTCCGTCTATTATCGTGAAGCTATAACGACAATGCACAGTCGAGTGTGCTTCGTTTACCCATCGGAGGCAACAAGAAGTCTCTCACTCGACGCTCTAGCTAATACGGTAGTTTCGGCAGGGTCACGCCACACCGGGATTGTTTGGCCCTTTGGATGCAATCAATAGAATAAAGTATGAGAAATTGGATAAACCACAAACTACCCCTCCAGCCCCCTCTCCTCCTCCAGCACCGCGGATGTCTGTGCGGTCCACGTGTTTGCTTGACCGTCTCCGCATGTTGGGAACCCGGCTTTGGGATCATCTCGAGGTAGGGGTGGTGGGGAGGCGGGCGGGGGGAGGGGGGGCAAGGAGTGGGGGGGGGGTGGAGAAGGGGGCCTTATCGGTGGTACTCGTTTCAACCCGTCAGGTCGTCTGTACTGGAGCCGCTGTTGGGTCGGCGCTGCGAAGGTCGGAGGGGCTCACGATCGGGTTGGGAGTCTCATGGGAAGGGTCAAGAGTCGCGTCTAGAGCGACCGCCTACCCGCTAGAGTGACCATCTTCTACCCAGTAGAGTGACTCTCTACCCCGGCTAGATCGACTCTCTACCCGTGTAAAGCGACTCTCTACCCGGCTAGAGGGATTCTCTACCCGCTTGAGTGAATGTCATCTACCCAGTAGAGCGACTCTCTACCCGTGTAAAGCGACTCTCTACCCGGCTAGAGCGATTCTATACAGGCGCGAGTGAATGTCATCTACCCAGTAGAGCGACTCTCTACCCGTGTAAAGCGACTCTCTACCCGGCTAGAGGGATTCTCTACCCGCTTGAGTGAATGTCATCTACCCAGTAGAGCGACTCTCTACCCGTGTAAAGCGACTCTACCCGTGTAAAGCGGCTCTCTACCCGTGTAAAGCGACCGTGTAAAGTGACTGTCTGCCACTGACTGTCTTCTACCGGGTAGAGCGACTGCCTACAGCACAGAGCAACTGTCTACCCGGGTAGGGCGACTGTCTACCAGATAAAGCGACAGTCTACAAAGAATAATGGCAGTCAACCCAGCATAAAGACAGTCTACTCAGTTTAACGACAGTCTACTCAGTTTTACGACAGTCTACTCAGTATAACGACAGTCTACTCAGTATAACGACAGTCTACTCAGTAGAACGACAGTCTACTCAGATTCACGACAGTCTACTCAGTATAACGACAGTCTACTCAGTTTAACGACAGTCTACTCAGTAGAACGACAGTCTACTCAGTTTCACGACAGTCTACACAGTATAACGACAGTCTACTCAGCGTAACGACAGTCTACTCAGCATAACGACAGTCTACTCAGTTTCACGACAGTCTAATCAGTATAACGACAGTCTATTCAGTGTAACGACAGTCTACTCAGCGTAACGACAGTCTACTCAGTGTAACGACAGTCTACTCAGTGTAACGACAGTCTACTCAGCGTAACGACAGTCTACTCAGTGTAACGACAGTCTACTCAGTTTCACGACAGTCTATTCAGTGTAACGACAGTCTATTCAGTGTAACGACAGTCTACTCAGTTTAACGAAAGTCTACTCAGTTTCACGACACTCTACTCAGCATAATGACAGTCTACTCAGTTTCACGACAGTCTACTCAGCATAACGACAGTCTACTCAATATAACGACAGTCTACTCAGTTTAACGACAGTCTACTCAGTATAACGACAGTATACTCAATATAACGACAGTCTACTCAGTGTGACGACAGTCTACTCAGTTTAACGACAGTCTACCCAGCATAATGACAGTCTACTCAGCATAACGACAGTCTACTCAGCATAACGACAGTCTACTCAGTTTAACGACAGTCTACTCAGTATAACGACAGTCTACTCAGTTTAACGACAGTCTACTCAGTTTAACGACAGTCTACTCAGTTTCACGACAGTCTACTCAGTTTCACGACAGTCTAATCAGTATAACGACAGTCTACTCAGTTTCACGACAGTCTACTCAGTTTCACGACATTCTTCTACCTGCGTAAGTCATCCACGTACTGTCAGCCTTCAGCCTTGCATACTGCTCGCTCTAAGTACTGCTCAATCTAAGTACTGCTAAATCTAAGTACTGCTCAATCTAACTACTGCTCAATCTAAGTACTGCTCGCTCTAAGTACTGCTAAATCTAAGTACTGCTAAATCTAAGTACTGCTAAATCTAACTACTGCTCGCTCTAAGTACTGCTAAATCTAAGTACTAAATACTGCTCAATCTAAGTACTGCTCGCTCTAAGTACTGCTCAATCTAAGTACTGCTAAATCTAAGTACTGCTAAATCTAAGTACTGCTCAATCTAAGTACTGCTCGATCTAAGTACTGATCGCTCTAAGTACTGCTAAATCTAAGTACTGCTAGCTCCAAGTACTGCTCAATCTAAGTACTGCTAAATCTAAGTACTGCTAAATCTAAATACTGATAAATCTAAGTACTGTACTGCTAAATCTAAGTACTGCTAAATCTAAGTAGTGCTAGCTCTAAGTACTGCTCAATCTAAGTACTGCTAATCTAAGTACTGCTCAATCTAAGTACTGCTCAATCTAAGCACTGATCGCTCTAAGTACTGCTCTCTCTAAGTACTGCTCAATCTAAGTACTGCTAAATCTAAGTACTGCTAGCTCCAAGTACTGCTAAATCTAAGTACTGCTAAATCTAAGTAGTGCTCGCTCTAAGTACTGCTCAATCTAAGTACTGATCGCTCTAAGTACTGCTCTCTCTAAGTACTGCTCAATCTAAGTACTGCTAAATCTAAGTACTACTCGCTCTAAGTACTGCTCAATCTAAGTAATGCTAAATCTAAGTACTGCTAAATCTAAGTACTGCTAAATCTAAGTACTGCTAAATCTAAGTACTGCTCAATATAATCACTGATCGCTCTAAGTGCTGCTCGCTCTAAGTACTGCTCAATCTAAGTACTGCTAAATCTAAGCACTGCTCAATCTAAGTACTGCTCAATCTAAGCACTGATCGCTCTAAGTACTGCTCTCTCTAAGTACTGCTCAATCTAAGTTCTGCTAAATCTAAGTACTGCTAAATCTAAGCACTGATCGCTCTAAGTACTGCTACATCTAAGTACTGCTCAATCTAAGTACTGCTACATCTAAGTACTGCTCAATCTAAGTACTGCTCAATCTAAGCACTGATCGCTGTAAGTACTGCTCTCTCTAAGTACTGCTCAATCTAAGTTCTGCTAAATCTAAGTACTGCTAAATCTATGTACTGCTCAATCTAAGCACTGATCGCTCTAAGTACTGCTCGCTCTAAGTACTGTTCAATCTAAGTACTGCTAAATCTAAGTACTGCTAAATCTAAGTACTGCTCAATCTAAGCACTGCTAAATCTAATTACTGCTCGCTCTAAGTACTGCTCAATCTAAGTACTGCTAAATCTAAGTACTGCTCAATCTAAGCACTGATCGCTCTAAGTACTGCTCGCTCTAAGTACTGCTCAATCTAAGTACTGCTCAATCTAAGCACTGATCGCTCTAAGTACTGCTCGCTCTAAGTACTGCTCAATCTAAGTACTGCTCATTCTAAGTACTGCTCGCTCTAAGTACTGCTAGCTCCAAGTACTGCTAAATCTAAGCACTGATCGATCCAAGTACTGCTATCCATGGGTGATGTCAACCCTACGTTCTGTTATCCCTACGTTCTTAGCCCTCTTAACTGTTCGTCATTACGTATCATCATTATTATTGTTAAGAAGCATGAGTCAGGAGTTGCGCGACTCTTCCTCTCAACTGAGACACAAAGCGCGTACTTTTACCGGCCCTGTATTTCTTTCTTTTTTTTAAAGCAGGGTGGGGTGGTGGGGGGACTGCGTCTTATAATCCGGTGGGTGCGTGTAAGTAAGTGTGTCTGTGCGTGAGAACAGATTTTGCTGTTGTTGCGTGGACCCGTTATTGAAACCGGGTAAACAAAAAAAACCTGGAGCGGCGTCTTTAATTCCGGAGAGTTTTCTAATCTGGAGAATTCGGTACCGATGTTTTTTTTTAGGTTCGTGTCCGCGCACGGTTTGCAATTCATTCCTGTCTGCTTTATTGAATCTATCTGTGCGGAGTTTTGGATATCA